GTAATGTTTTATAACTCTTCAGGTTTTTTTTCTTTTCTTTTTGTGACGGTGTTCAGTCATGGCCCTGGTTTTGATCAGATATGTTGCTACCACGCTGTCCCGAGGCCGCCTCGAGGTCGCCTCGGCCTTTTATTTTCTGCCGGTGTGCCCTAACGTAACTAGGGATGGGTACCGAATTTGGTACTTTTTAAGGCACCGACCGAATTCCATAGTACCAATTCATGTCATATGAAACAGTGCCTTGTTTCGGTACCCATTCTGCACGTTGGCACAAGAGCGTGATGTCGTCAGTCACTGTGGGTGAGCTGTAAACAAAGCAGCGTGGCAGAGTAGAAAGGTTCTGACGTTTGGGTCCACTTCACTAAATGTGATGGGTAACTGGGTGATGATGAAACCAGCAACAATGATCTAAGTGAAGCATCATCATCTTAATCTACTCTGGTAGGTAAATAAAATGTTTAAGATAACGTTAGCTTGATATATTAGCTTCCGTTCTGCTAATGGGGCGTTCACTTTCTCCTCGGAAATTCCAACATCCGAGAATGAAAAATAAACAGTTTGGAAAATGAACGAAATAGGAATGAAGATACACAGAAAATGTAGCTCACAGCAGAGATGTTTGCTTCAGTGTAATCAGCAGTTTATAAAACTACAAGGACCCACCATCACACCGTTTATAAAACTACAAGGACCCACCATCATAGTTTGTCCAGAGGAGAAAGGAGAGGAACAGGAGTACATGGAGCTGGTTTAGTAAGTGAAACTCCACAATATTAAAGTACAAACTGTTGTATGGTATAACTGTCTATTTAAGGAGTCAATGGATGATAAATAAGTCCTGATTGATGACAAGGAAAAGGTTAAACATCATAAGAGCATTGCTAAACACAGACAGGATCAGTTTGACCAGAAGAGTCTCGTACTCGGAGAAATAAATGCTCGTGTGTTTGGATGATGATGCCTAGAGACCAGTGTACTGCTTAGGCCTTCGTTAATGTTTCTTTAAAATGACTGTAGCGTCCATGAAGGGTCATTTTTCATCTACAGTTTGACCTCTTCAGTATCCGGTCATCTACAGATATAATTCTGCCTCTGTGGGCCCTCTAATATTCCAAGCTGCAAGAAAGGTTCTACAGTGTTGTTGACATTGAGATTGTTAACACAGCGTTCCCTTCAGCAAGGCCTTTCTACCAAGCCTATCTGCTTATCTAGACTGTCCTGCACAGAATAAAGGATCGAACCATTATAAGAACAAACTTTTATAATAATGAATACTGAATGATGAAATGAAATACATAGATAATCATATAACTATGAACAAGGGGTTAAATGAAATGTTTTGATTAATCTGTGCCTAAATTAATAAGAATGAAATGAATGTGTCCTTGCAATGATCCGTTTGTTTCATAATCAGTCTACTTGACAAGCTCACACACACACACACGTGCATATCTCCACAAGGGTACAGTAATGTCATGACACATAAAGATTTTCTCATCCACAAAATCAGCATCTTCTATCTGAAGAAGGAGTGTTTCTGAGTTTGGCAACAAAAAATACCCCCTTAACATCATGGCACGTTGTGATTTGCCAGAAAATCATAACATAGGAATTAATAAAACTCAGGTCACTTCTTCTGTACTGTGGAACCTTTCTTGCAGCTTGGAATATTAGAGGGCACACAGAGGCAGAATTATGTCTGTAGATGACCGGATAGTGAAGAGGTCAGACTGTAGATGAAAAATGACTCTTTCTGGACGTTACACAACTCTTGTGCAGAAGAAGACATAATGGCATCATTATAAAGCTATGTTATAACATGAATAACAAACTGTTTGACAACAGTGTAATCATCTATTTATTCTCTTTATGGATTAGATATCTGTGATATCTATAACGTTTTTATATTAGATTTAGCAGTAAAGGACATTCTGATGTTGGAGATTCACCCTTTAACTCATGTTCTCATATTTATGAAACATAACTTGTGATGGACCTTTTCCCCTGGAGAGGACAAGATATAATAGTGTTTATAAGTGCATTTTTAATGTAGTTTATTTATTTCACTTTTAAGGTTTGGGTACATCTGAACACCGATTGGAACAGAATAAAGGTCCTGATGTTGATAAAAATGATGTCATAATGTTGGAGAAATGGTGCCGAAATAAACCTACTTTATGAAGCCACCTTTACTTACAGCGCACTGTTACATGAATTGTTGTTGACTTAACATATACGGTTATGATTACATGATTAATACTAATGGGTCGTGAGTCTGAACTGGGCCGGTCTGAGCCCCAAAACTCCGGGGCTGAAATAAGCCTAACATGATTGTAATCACTTGTAAAGTTAGGAAATCGTTTACGAGAGTTTGAAAGTCCGGTCTCCTGAAGGAGTAGCTCCAGATGGCCTGCGTAGGAACAAAATAACGGGACTATTTTGGTATGGAAAAGCACACAATATTCCAGGCAGATGAAACCGGACATGAGAAGTGTGGTCGGATAGTGACAAAGGAAGGGAAGGTAGTCCACACAGAGCTCTCACTCCCAGAAGGAGGAGCCACAGCCAAATACCTACACTCTACTTCACAACCAGCCCATTACATCATGGAGGACAGTGAAGGGTGTTGTGGCTGTGAAGCAGATACCAGGAGTCCAAACTCAGGAGCCATCCCCTAGGTATAAGAGCCTGTAATCTGTAGATCAATACTTAACTGTAAATGCATTTGAAACAAAGTGTTTCAGATATATTAAGATTTCCATTTAACTTGTTTTGTTTTATTTGGAGGGTTGTGTTGTGCTGTTGTCTCAGATTATAATCTAAAGGCACCCGCTGGTACGAACACGTATCCGTCTGTTTGTCATCAGAGGTGAAGTTTTCTGCCGTAACTTCATGCTGACGGTTTTGTTAGAGACACAGTTCTAATGTATAGGGAGGCTGGTGTACTGCCATCGCCCCCTAGTGGCTCAACGCAGAAGTAATCACTTAATCTGGCCCTCTCAATGTCCCCCATTGAACATGTGTAGGTTCTGACCCCTGGTATACATGTTTTGGATTTTGGGGATTAGGCTCCAAAAAGTCTGCTTCTGGAGCCACAATGGACCCGATCTTGCTCCTCCTACAGGTGGATGAGCCCATGTGACCAGTCCAAGGCACGTGGGTAAAAGCACGCCTACTAGGAGCTCAGACGAGGGCTGCCATCCTGGCACTTTGTTCTGATCAGTCACTGTTTGTCTCTCCTTCTCAGAGCGCACACACACGCACACACTGAGTAAGGTAGCGGTTCAAGGAGTTTAAACAACGCTGACCTGGTCCCAGTGAAGAACTCCCAGTGGAGTTTGATGCATGAAAGAACCTGATTGAGTTTATTTAGTTTTGACCTTTTAACCCTTTCATCGCCCTATCAGGTGACCCCTCCAGGACCGGGGGTGGTTAAACATGGTTGATAGTTTATCCCTTGGCAAAGGTGAAGTGGTGCCCTCCTAAAAACAAAAAAAGCTGCTGGGCCCACCTGAGCCAATTAGCAATGCGGGAGGATTAAAGTGTTGGCCTGATTACACAGAGCTGTCCACAGCAATGTCAGAGGTCAAACAGTCGGGTGTCCAGCAGCTTCCTCTCTTCCCTGTACCAAAACAACTCCATGATTAACCATCCCTAGCAGCAGCATCCAGAAGATGGTCAAAACAATTCCTTTTCCTGACTCCTCTTCTGCCACTACGGACATCCTGCTGCAACTCCAAGGTCTCATGAAGAAGTCGAGGCTTTTCCCTTTTTAATAAAATGAATCTTTAGTCTCATCAATGACTCTTCACAAGTTGGTAATAATTACAATTATCTACCATGAATGTTCTGTCTAAAGTGGTTTAATAATTATTAATCAACATAAATGTTATTAATTCATGACTTATTTCAATCTTAAATACACTAAATGAGTCTACTATGATTTAATGATCAATTAATTATCATTTACATATTAATAGTGCATGAACAAAAGAATGTGTAACAGACTTACTCCATACATTAGGTGAAATAAGCTTTCTAAGCATCACAGAAAGGGGAGTGGCTGAGGGTCTTTGTAAACATCTAGACACAATAATCAGATCTGGTTGGCCAAAGTTTATAAACAACCATTTCATTAAAAGTGAATCACTTCCTGTTTTAACCAGTTCCAGCCAAAGCTCACAGCTCATGCCAAATGACCATCCTGTGGGGATAAACCAGATGTTTCAGTGGAATAACTTCAGCAGCACATGAACCATCCTTTTGAATCAACTATTATTATTTATTCAATCCATCATCCACTCATCAGACATGAAACCGTCCACCAGAAGCCACCTGGGAAGTATCTTCTGACCAGCCGTGCATATGCTGAGGGTGTCTACGATCTTCAGATACATCAGAAGTCCACTCACTCGCTCTGAGAGACGGCTTCACCTGCAGGCCGGATCTCCAGAGCTTCCATGATCCAGGGTGTGTAGACTGAACAATGGCGTCAGAGTGGTTGATATTAATCTGATAACTTGTTAAATTACATCCAACAAACAGCCAGATGTATTTAATAAACCAGACATCACACCTTTCTGAGTCACTTAGAAAACTCTTAAACACACCAGGTCATGTTTCATCAGAGTTCATTCATTGTCTCATTTAACATCACTGTGTCACCATTTACAATCATTTACCTTTCATCATCATTAATATAGTCATAAATTCATTTTCATAAACTATATTTTTGTCTTTGTGTCAAATTATTATAAAGTGTTGTTTCCCAGGATTAACCAAACTACCTAGTTTCATCAGCAATCCAATATTAAAGGCTCAATAACATTTATAAACCATCATTTTGTGCAACATTACATTTTATTGAATCCCTTTATATTCTATTAAAAGTACCCACTTACACATCGTTACACGGATGAGAACGGGAACGCTCCAGGAAGCGTTCTGTTCCTCTTCCAGTCCTCTCAGGGCGTGCCCACAAGTCATACAGGACAAAGGTGTTTATCAAAAACATAGATTTATTGTTTTGCTACAGCTGCTTAACAAAGATGGCAGACACATCTGTACAGAAGCACTAGAACTTGTGTTCTTCACCTTCTCAGAGAAGACACACATCTGCATTTTCACACAAGCTGCTGAGTTGTTGTGTTTAAAACTCGCTTCAGCCAAAGTGGTTCTTCTCTTTCATCAGGCATGGTCACAAATCTCAGTAAAAACACTGTACATCGGTGTGTATGTGTGTGTGTGTGTGGATCCATAGAGCAGGACACTGTTCCCGGTGGCAGAACATCGATTGAAGCTCTAATGGATACAAGATCATTCCGTTCTGAGAACAGAGCTTCTCTGTAGTGTGTGGATTACAATAGATGAAGATTATAATTCTGTGGTTTTGACTATATAATCTCTCAAGACGCCAGCCAGCAGTGCTGTCACACACGTCACACCTCAGCTGATCCCTAAAGCACACCTGCTGCAGGTAAAGTAGAAAACGTGTTCTGGTTGGTCTTTTAAACAAAAACAAGTCTGGTTGCCATGGAGACCAAACTGTGCCATCTGTTCTAAAACTTGGGTTTCTCCTCCATCCCCCGCTAGTGTCACCAGTGATGCCACCATGTGACCTGCTTTGGTCACATGACCCGGGACAGCCGCCATGTTCCACTGTTGGTTTCTGTTTCTAAAGGAAGCTTCTCTTCTAAGATGCTAAAGGGTACCTTCAGCCTCACCGCCAGGCTCCTCCCACTGGAGCAGGAGACCACAGCACCACATAAACCACCAAAATGTCCACGAGAATCGTCAGCACCGATGACACAAACAGGAAGCTGAAAAGAGGGAGGGGCCAGACGCTTGAGACCTTCCAGGAACCCATGAGCCGATCGGACAGGGAGGCTCCTTATCGCTCAGTAGTGATCTCTATTGCCCTATCAGCGCAGCGTCTGAGCCTCCTACCTCCAGCCCAGCTTCTGGAGCTGAACACGCAGAGAAAAGAGAAATCTAGCTGTTTCCACATAGGACTCTGAAGGTCATGGCTGAGAATCTTCACCATCGTCCTCGTCAGTCACAGTCTGAGAGAAACTCTGGAGTCGGGATGTCTTCTGATGTAACTTTCACATGACTGGCACAGGAGAAGGATGAGCTCCTAAGGTCCGGATCTCAGACTGAACTACAACTTTACAACCACTTCCTGGCTCGCTGGCTTCAGGGCTAAGTAACAAAAAGAACTTCAGTTTCAGGATAGAAGTCTGGAAATCAAAACTTTTATCGGAGCCAAAAAACTTGTGGAGAAACATTTTTGGACATTTGTGTTTAAAGGGACTATAAGGAAGTTTGACAGCCAAAACATGTATAGAAATAATAATTTTCTTCTTCATACATTCTCCTGCAATGCCCTGGTCCTGTAGAATGAGCCCTGGCATTTTTACTGTGATTGCCTGTTTTTCTGTAAAATCACAGAAAAAGAGAGCTGCTCGGGTTGAGCAGGCTGCTTCATGCGCGTTCACGCTCAGGCATAGCCTGTAGCATTTGCTATCAGTAGCTTTAGCAGCAGAGAGAGAGGCAGTGCCACTTTGTCGCTGTTCCTAACGCCTAGTGACAAAGCTAGCTACATTTCTGAGGAACCTTAACTACTTTCTTCTAGATATTTCCTGCAAATGAGCAACAAAATAGCCATTTTCGCTCCGAACCGTTCTTTGGTTTGACGTTGTTTCAGCTGTCATCAAGAATATAAAACTTACAGATACTGTGACTGTTAATAGAGTAAAGCTCACCTAGTAAGATGTCTGACTCTCATGCAGAAGACCTGGGTTCGATTCTGGATGTCAACATAGTTAATTTAGAGTTTATTTTTTACATTAATGGTATATTTTTTTTACAGTAAGATGCCCAAATTTTTATTTGAGGCTCGCTGAACGGCATTGAATTCACAGGTAAAAAAGATGTGGGTTCAACTTTCATTTTGGAACAATTTTTCAAGCAAGGGAAGGGAATGATCTGAGCATGCAGGAGGACTGACCCATCTTAAACCTTTGTCGGCTGTGCTGAAGAGAAAGGTACAGAACCAAATTATTTAATTAAATAGCTGTATGTTCTCCTGTCCTCTGTCCTCCGGGCCACACACACACACACACACACACACACACACACACACACACACACACACACACACACACACACGACTGTCTCAGCTGTTATTTTTGTTAAGGAGTGTGCACGTACAGCATGCACGCCTCGTGCACGAGCCTACTATTGAAACTGCAGTTCGTCTGAGTGGCGATTGCGAGCATAAAAACTTCAAACTTCCTTACAGTCCCTTTAAGCCCAAACTGTTTTTAGGTTCAACCGGACCAAAACAGTCTCAACCTCTCCGGGCTGGAGACGCTGCATCGTGATTGGCTGGTGGAGGGAAAACACGGAGTTAGCGGATGGGTGGGATTCTGACTTAGTCAGCATCCTTAACTCCTTCTCCTGTCCACTGTCTCAGTGGGACATCAGGTGTCCTACACCGACAGAAAGCTGATGGTGCAAAGGTCACCAGTAACAAGGAAGCGTTCAGAACCAAACCCACGTTGCTTTAAGAGATGAGAGCTGAAATAAAAGGACGCTTATGTGCCAGTACACTAACTTCAGATCGATCCAATCTCGTGTTTTTCCTCCGACAGCAACCAAATAAAAGCCCATAAACCAGCAGCTGGGGTGGTTCTGACCCTAAAGGAGGACAGCCGTTACGTTGGCCTACCAGCTGATGAACCTCCCGGATGATCTTGGGCTGTAGAACATACCCGGCATGTTCTCTAATCTAACGTGTCCGTGTGACTGATCTGCTCTGACGGATGGGACAGGACCAAACTTGAGTCAGTCTCAGCTGTCCACCAGCCTGCTGATCGGTGGAGCAGCGTGTGATGTGATGACCTTCATGAGACCCCACCCCTTCCTGGGTGGACCAATGAGGATCCAGCTCTGCAGCAGCTGGTTCCTGTTCAGGGATCACAGAGGGAAGGGGAAGTTGCCATGGTAACGGCTTGGAGTTCAGAGTGGCTGTGACTGAGTCAAGTGGAGGGTGTGAGCGAGGTGCGTCTGGTTCTGCTGGGTCTGGGGCGGCTGCTGCAGGATGTGGACCACCAGGCTCAGGGTGTCGATGGTGGCCGAGGCCAGGTACTGACAGCACAGCCAGTCCTCCAGGCTCACAGAGCACGCCGTGTCCAGAGAGCGCTCTGCAAACTTAATCATCATTAGAGTCCGCTTCAGGTCCAGCCAGTTCTGGAGCGTGGCCTCGCGTTGACCCGCGGTGGCCCCCGACACGCTGCTGCAGCCCAGAGCCTGGAACAGGTCCTCCCGGGGGCCCCAGAGCAGGCACTGCAAACAGGCTCGGGCCTCGGATATCTGGATGCGCTCGGACGGGTTAACGGTGAGAAGCAACCGGGCCAGCTGCTGCAGGCCCTGGGAATACAGCGACCTGACGGGCAGAGGAGGCAGGTCCTCCCACGTGTACTCCTGCTCCTTCAGGTCCGGCACTTCCTCAAACGGGTTGGGTCTGTGCAGCATCTCGTAGATGAGAATGCCCGTCTGGAACTCGTCACACTTGCGATACTGCGTGTCTGTAATGATCTCCGGGGCCAGCCTGGATCGATTGCGCAGCGTGCCGGGGTCGGACGCCATCAGGCTGCTCTTCTGTTTGGCTTGAGAGAAGTTGCTGATGATGAGGCGGGCGGGGCAAGTGGTGGTGGCAGCGGCGCTCGCACCAGAGTTGCTGCTGCTATTGTTGTTGGGCTCCAGGAAATCCAGGTTCCAGGGGTTTCCGGGTTGGCACTGGACCAACAGCAGGTTCTCCAGCCTCAGGTCGCAGTGGGTCACATGGTAGGGCTTCATGTGCTCCAGGCCGGAGCAGAGCTGCAGCAGCAGCAGGCAGACCTGTCGCTCGTACAGCTCTGGGTGGCTTTCATGTCTGCTTGCACCTGCTCTGACAAAGTCCGCCACCGTTTGGAACGGAACCTCTCGGGTGATCACCACCACCCGACTCCTCAGACCACCAGCCGTCTTCAGGTTCCCTGCTGCTTCTCCTAGTTTATCATTGGAGGAAGAAGCCTGAGAGTCTTTCAGCTTACCGCCTCTCTCTGCGTTTGTCTCCATGTCTCCCTCCTTCTCTTCACCGTCCTCATCTTCCTCCTCCCAGGGCAGCATTCGGACGGGGACATCAGCCAGGAAGTGTCCACAGTCCTGCTGGATGTTGAAGTGGACAGGAAGACTCTGTCTCACAGCCAGACTGTGGAAAAACTGCTGCTGTGTGTCGTTCATGTCGCTCCGACAAATCTGGAGACAAACGCACACAAACGGGTAATAATCAGGTTCCTTTTATTCTATTTTCTGTGACATTATTTGTTTAAGCCGGTAGAACCCACTCAGATGGGGTCACCTGGCCAAACATCCAACTTAAAAACAGATTAAATGAATTTAGTCGCAGTAGAAAGAAGGTAAAAGCACGTGTTGTAAACCAACACCGATGGGTCAGTCTGCAGGAACCGAGTCCAACCAGCAGGTGGCAGAGTTCTGCTGTTGAGTGATTGAAACGTAATACTTTGATGACAGTAGAATCTGCATAATAAACGAGTGTTTATGACGTTTTTACTGATATTCGATGGTCGATTCCAAATTTGTTTATGAAGTTCTTTTCACTCCAGGAGAAACAAGAATATGTTATTAATCCAGTTTGGACTGAGAGACCATGTAAAGCAGCAATCCCCAACTCCCTTCCCTGAGGGCTGGTCTCCAGCATGTTATGGTGTTGTCCCTGCTTCTACACACCTGGTTGTCATCATCAGCTGATTCAAAGGCTTCTGCAGAGCCGGGTGAGCAGGTGAACCAAGTGTGTTGGACTAGGAAAACAACAAATCATGCTGGATACTGGCCCTCAGGGAAGGGAGCTGGGGATCGCTGATCTAATGGCTCAGGAACCTCTGCTGCTTTTCTGGATTCATCAGCTGATCAGACACTTTAAGTCTAGAGTATTGTGATTGTCTGAGCTTTAGAAACGGGGGTTTTCATCAGCTGGAAGCCATGGTCCTCACTTATAACAGATAAAACATCTGGATTTACCTGGAATGAGTCTGTCTCATGGGTTAGTTTCAGCTTTTAAGTTGGAATAGTGACATAAATGAACTCTTGCTCCACAATCTCATGTTTAGAGCTTCACCTGTACACCTCTCTCATATGAAGACCTCAGCAGCGTTATTGTTTCAGGAACGTCCAGAACGAGCCGTTAAAGGGCTCTGTCACCCCCCACAGGCTGCTATAAAATTTGATGTTCCGATATCTGGGAGGGGCTCCGAGTAGAGCTGCTGCAGACACACACACACACACGCAAGCACACACACACACACACACACACACACACACACACACACACACACACACACACACACACACACACACACACACACACACACACACACACACACACCTCACCTTAATGGCGTAGCTGACCAGTGGGTCCTTGGCGTAGGAGGCGGTGTAGTAGACAGCATCTCCCGCCTCACAGCATGGTTTACCGGTGGTCAGCCTGAAGTGGGACCAGCTGTGGGTGCCAAATCTCAGATGATCCTTCTGGCCGGCCATGAAGCGATCCTCACACTTAGATGACAACTTCCTCAGGGTGTCTGTGTGCAGCCCTCTGATCCTTCCCACCACCTCGTCCCAGCTGTCCAGGCCCCTGTAGAGCGCAGGTCTCTGAGGTTTGGAGCATCCTCTTCCAGCAGCACCTCGGCCTGCAGCCCAACCCCTGCCAGCCAGAGACTCTGTACTCAGGAACGCTCTGGTGTCCCTATCACAGGTGGGAGCAGCAGCTGTAGGCTGGGGAACCAGAGAGGACGTGCTGTTGGTAAGGCGAGCCTTGCTGGAAGCTGAAGGCCTCTCCAAGGAGTCACCACTGTCATGGTCTTGGGCTCGATGAGCCTCAGAGCTGAGGGATGAGCCCTGGCTAGCCGTCTCCCAGGTGGAGTCCAGGTCATAGATGGGGTTGGCCACGCTCAGATTGGTGCCACCAGGTTTAGCCTCAGCTCGAGGTCTCAGGGGTCCATGGGTATTCTCTTTACATCCCAGAATGGGTTCAGTGCTAGAGCGAGGAACCACCTTCTTAGGGAGTGGAGGCGGAGCTGGTTTCGGTGCTAGATGATCAGTGGAGACATCCAGGTCAATGGAGGCCAAGGTATCGCTGGATGATTTGATGTTCCGTGGCTGCTTCAGTGGGATCATGTTGGCTCTGGATTGTCCTGATGGAGAAAGTAGGAGACGTTAGTTCCCGTCTTACTGCTTCTAACCCTAACATCAGCTTCTAATTCGTGCACGGCTCTGATCTGATCCGATGATACCGATTCACCTGAAGTATTCATGATGAACAGAATACAGAAGCAGGATAGAAGACGTGTTTATAGTTCTACATTTTATACTTTTGCTAACGTCGGTTAGCGGTGTCAGCCATCTTAACGTTTCTCAGTGGTAGAATCAAAAGGAGACGTTGAGTGTCACTAAAATCTGTCCATGGGTTCACGAGACCTTATGCTAACAAACACAGACAGGCAGTAACATCCCAGCCCACTGCCGAGAGGACAAGGGCAGGTTGCTTCTCTCCACTTCTAACGGCTTGTTGTTTCTCGTGAATAGGGTCAAGCATCGAGCAGCAACTGGAACTGAGACTGACCGTCAGGGTTTCCCACAACTGTTCAAGTTTTTAAGTTGTGATTGCTAGTTTTGCGTCCAGTCCGCCGACTGGAGGAGGAATCCGCGGCCGATCTCTGTGAAAAAAGAAAACGTGATCTGAAAATTCAGATCGACGCCTTTCAGAGGCGATCACACCAGCTGCCCTTCTGCTGCTACGCTGCAGCCCACAGAGGCCCTGAGTGCAGCATCGCCCCCTTCCCTCACACCGTGCATGAGCGCAGCAGCAACATGGAAACAAATGCATCTGCCAAACGTTTACGCCGTGAGTCATGAGGTGATGCATGGTCTGCTGTGAGAAACTAAAATGCGTCAACACAGTGGATTTAAGACGAGCATCAGCAGACGCAGCCCCTCGCCTACCCCGTCTGTGTGAGGCTGACCGTCAGAGGGCTGAGCAACAACCTGTAGAATAAATAATGTCATCAAGCTAGAGCAGCTCTCTGTGGTGGACCACAGGGATAATACATGTAATAACAGTCATAATCATACTAAATCTTTCTCTTCTGAACTATTTAGTCAGTTGAGAGTTTAAAATCTGTTAGAATGTTACTGACAGCAGCTACATTTAAGTTTCAGGTCGCTGCTGCAGGTGTAGACTCATCCTGGACTTGGTCATCGTCAGAGTTTTAGCTGCAGCAGCTGGACTTTCCTGGTTATGCTGGAGACGTTCAGCCTCTCATCCTAGAGGCTTCTTTGGTTGCCAGACTTTGGTTGTGTGTAGAAAGTCTTTCATCTTTCTTCAAACCCTATTTTGTCTAGACCTTTGATGCATAATGGTCACTACAGTGGACAGGTACTCAAAATTGTTATTTATTTATTTTTGCTATTAAGCACAGCTGTTGAAGACTTTATTGCTTTTGAGCCCCTCCATTTGTACTTCAGTGAGTCAAGCCAACATGTTTCATGTTCAGAATGCACGCTGTCCACTGAGGTGGACATGTAATAAATTATCTGTAAATGATTAAATGTTACAAAAGATATGTAAATATGACATTTGTTTCATTCACACCTAAAGATGAAAGAAAAAACTGTTTAAAAAAATCATGGTTGAAAATTTCATAATTCGTGCATCAAAGGGTTAAGTGAAGGTGATGTTGTTGTTCATAGAATCAAAATTCATGTTGAAGCACGTTGCAGATCTGGGGTCAGCTGGCTCACTTAAAACACAACGTTTTGGATCCTGCCTCTTCAAAGAATCGGAATCAGGAATCGATAGGAATCGGAATCGTTCAAATTCAAACGATGCCCAACCCTAAGAAGGTGTGAAAGTGACACAAGAGTACAGATGAAACAGCCCGATGAGTTCCCAAGGACAAAGACGTTAGTCCTTTAGCACAACAGCTATGACATTATCCCAAACCAAAGGTAAAGCTGGGTTCAAAAGGTCACAGAGACCTGGTCTGTGAGTCACCTCCTCCTATCCCAATGGGATGAGCGGCTCTTCACGTAAAGTCAGGCTGCCACGGCTTTAAAAGAGCAGTAAGACTCTAGGAGGGAGCAGTGGGGATGAAGTAAATGCTAATCCTCTCTGGAACCAACACATTTAATGTGTTCCTGTCTCAATCTGCAGTAATCCACCCAAGGAAGGCAGACGTCTCCCATGCAGCCAGAGGGATCTCCACATGCTATCACATAATCACTAAATCAGAACCACTAACAACTATGAGACTGCAATAAATGATTTCTGTTTACAATATTCTAAATCATCAAATTATTTAAGCACTTTAGGGAACTTCAAACGGCCATTTCTATTAGAAAACTAACACAATATCACCAGTTTTCAATATCATTACTGATTAATGAAACTTTCCGCTGTTTGGAGCCAACCTGATTAAAGATGGCTGCCACAGTCAACTCTTCATCAGCTAGGTCCACTTCACAGGCACTGAGGCTAACGCTACTGCTAAAGGCCAAAACAAACACAAGTTCATGATTGGTCATCATTGTAATTTCAAACATGAAAGACATCTTTCTGTTTCCTGACAAGTTGATGAATCACAAAGTGAAGAAGGCAATGACAGTCACTGGTTTAACAGGATTCTAAACAGTTTGGCTCTTTCTACTCTTTATACGAACCAATGTAAGCCCTGTGGCATCAACTGGTTCAAACATTAGTGATAAACCTAAATAAAGTTCTCCAGAAGGTCACACGTGCCGTACTTTAACACCCCCCTCTGCAGCTTCAGCACTGTTACCCACCCACTACCCCATAGAGACAGTGTCCTGCCCACGGCCAAAATCACACAGATTAAATATCAGGCTTAATAAAGCAAATCATGGAAATCTCATAAATATTAGAATAAATTCAACTGAGCAGAAAACTAGAAAAAATAAATGTGGGTTATTGAACATTAGGTCTATTTTTTCTAAGACTTTGTTAGTTAATGACTTGATTTGTGATTATCAGATTTCTTTGCTCTCTCTCACAGAATCCTGGCTGCAGCAAGAGGACTATGTTAGATTAAATGAGTCGACTCCTTCTAATTATTTAAATCATCATATTGCTCCAAGTACAGGGCGAGGAGGAGTAGCAACCATTTTTCATTCAGACTGCAGGTTTACTGGTGGTTCTCAGAATATCTAAAAATAGGATGGGAGGCAGATCTTTTAGTTATCAGGCTCCTCTCTTGTGGAACCAACTCCCAGCTTTAGTCCGTGAGGCAGACACCTTGTCTACTTTTAAGAATAGGCTTAAAACATTTTTATTTGATAGGGCCTATGGTTAAAATCTGATGTTAGCCTAAATCTGGACAAGTGGGAGAGTAGAGGGAGGTGGAGTGTACAGTCGGTAAAGACGGCTCTCCCTTGCCCTGCCTCCAACATGCCTCCATCTAAAAGTCTAGGTTTTCCAGTTATCTCTGTAGTTATGCTGCTATAGGCTTAGACTGCTGGAGGACATACTGACCACTTTCCACACTCGACTACTGTCTTCTACAATCTGCTCTTTAACTGTATTATTTCCTGCAATTTCAGCTGTTAACTTTATTTTTTTTCCAAGTGTTTTTCTCCCCAGAAGAAGCTACAATGATGTTCTGCTGAGCTGTGGTGGCCTCATGGAGGGGGCCATCGACTAGCACACTGTTGCTAACCACTTAAACATTCTCCCTCTCCTGATTATAATATTTTACTTTTGCTGACATTGAATGTACTACTACTAGTTTACCTGTTTAATTATAGATTCACTAGGATAAATACAATACAGTTTATCTCTCACCAAATAGAATATAGAGTATTTACTAAGAAATAACAATGTAGCCATAGAAACACTACTTGGTATATATGTTGTGTAAGGATGTGCGTGCGTGTGTGCACGTGTGTGTGTGTGTGTGTGTGTGTGTGTGTGTGTGTGTGTGTGTGTGTGTGTGTGTGTGTGTGCTCTGTTTTCTCCATCCCCAGTGAGTCGTGGTGGATGGCTGCTTATACTGAGCCAGGATCCTCTGGAGGTTTCTTCCTGTTAAAAGTGAATTTTCCTCTCCACTGTCGCTGCATGCTTGCTTAGTATGAGGATTGCTGTAAAGTCACTGACACTAGTCAGTGACTTGATGCAACCTGCTGGGTTCCTTATAAAGAAAACCTTTTTCTGACTGGCTTAATGAACTGACCTGTATTGGAATGTTTATTATGTGAAGTGCCTTGAGACGACTCTTGTCGTGATTTGGTGCTATATAAATAAACTTGAATTGAATAATGGCCTGGGTATTACTTCTACTATCCCCTGAGTCCAGATACTTCCAGGATGCTTGTTTAATGTACAAAGGAGGACTCGAATGTCTAGACAGCAAATTTCAAGGGGGTGGGTGGTGAGTGTAGGGAATGTTGTGGCCCATGTTCTCGGTAGTGAACATAAACATAAACCTCTGTAGTGTACATAAATGTTAACTTCGGTAGTGTACGGAAACGTAAACCTTGGTAGCGTCCATAAACGTAACCCTCGGTAGAGTACAGAAACATAAACTTCGGTAGGGTACGGAAACGTAAACCTCGGTAGTGTACAGAAACGTAACCCTCGGTAGAGTACATAAACGTAAACCTCGGTAGCGTCCATAAATGTAAACCTCGGTAGGGTACATAAATATCTTTGGTGTGTTCTTACTGTGTTTAATTTCTAATCCCATTTTTGGTTCTTTTTAAAAACACAGGAAAGGTTTTTCTTTACCTTGCTGACATACGTTTCGTTTGCTGACTGCAAAACATCCTCAGGGCTGACGCTGACGGAGAGGGGAGATCGGGCAGCAGAGGGCGACAATGTCCTCTGCTGCCCGGAGATAAACAGAGTAGGATGTGACGCCACCATCAGCGTCAGCTCTGAGGATGTTTTGCAGTCGGCAAACGAAACGTACGTCAGCAAGGTAAAGAAAAACCTTTCCTGTGTTTTAAAAAGAACCAAAAATGGAATTAGGGTACATAAATGTAAACTTCGGTAGTGTACATAAATGTAAACTTCGGTAGTGTACATAAATGTAAACCTCGGTAGTGTACATAAACGTTGAACTCGGTAGTGTACATAAACATAAACCTTGGTAGGGTATAGAAACCACAGTCTTCTCAGTTCAGAAGGTGAGTGGTGCTCCAACGTTCTCCTCTGTTGTTATTTTCCTGTCATCCAATAAAATGGTAAACGGCCTGTCATTGTATAGTGCCTTGTTAAGAGTTCTACAACCCCCCATTGCTCTTCACAACACAATCATTCACACACACATTCACATGCTGGTGTGCATGAGCTACAACGTAGCCACAGCTACCGCTGTCAAAGGCAGCTCGGGCTTTCGTTAGCACTAACTCAGCCTAGCACTGTTCGCGTTACTGCGACCATGCTGCCGACACTAAAGTGGATGGGAACGTGCAGCTGTAAGGAGGTGTGTCTTGCTGTATGTAATAAACCAACCGTGTCTCCCTCACCTTTGCAGCATTACTAGTTTACAGCAGAGCCCCCTGTATTCAACAACCAGGTAAATGCGGCTTTACATTCACTCGAAGTGGCAGAATGTACTGGCTTTTGATGATGAGGTCGTTGTTACTGTCACAGCTGCTCTGCTCCATAGCTACCCACCAGCTCTTCTCTGCTGTAGAAACTCACGTCCTCCTCACAGTTGCATGCAAATACATGTAGTTTAGAACCTCGGATAAAATAACTAGTAACAAACTTCCTTTGGGTTTTGATTTTTATCTCTGGACCAAAGAGCGTGTGGAAAACACGACCCTGATCTGTGTTGGAGCTGGGGATGAAGATCTTGTTGCAGAGTGATTGTTGTGCAGCAGCAGCAACAAAACTAACTGTGACAGCAACAAACTAGCAAGTCAGGAGGCGAGAAGAGAGTTAGAATGAAGCAGGTGGAGACAGACAGGAACAACAGTAGATCCAAGAGGAAAAACAAGCCTACCTGGACTCCACTGACGCCTTTAGGCTTTAGCATCCGAGTAAAACGCTGCTCTCTGCTTCCATGTCTGAGTGTCACCATCACAGAGAGGCTCTCTGGTTAAAACACACGAGGGGCACACTCCCCTCCTCACTGATACAAGAGCTAAGTCACGTCGTCACATTAAATCCAGACTTCTTAGGGCAGAGGATGTTTGTGTCTCTCCCCACAAAGCAACATGATGCACTCTGGGAGTTTTGACTCAAACCCACTGCTAAACACACCCTGCTCTCTAGTTCCTCATTAGCAGCATGCAGAAGTAAAAATAGAGTGTAGGCAGCTCATCATCGGCCAACTGGAGGGCTTTGAACACAGTCACAACACATCTACCCACAGAGCAGAGCTTCACAAACACACCATTAAAAAAGCTTCATAAACAACAGAAACAGGAAAACAAAGGAATAGAAAAGGCTATAAAAGGTAAGAAGAGTTGCTACAGGAGCCTGGAGGTTCAAACAGGCAGTCAGTGTGTTTTATTTATCTTTTCATAGGCGTTGGACCTCTCTGGATGTACCTGTTAACGTACAACTCTGTCACCTCTTTTCCACTGAACTTTACTTGAGCGGACTTACGGAGGCGGAGGAAGTGCTCATCAATTAAAGGAAAAGACAAAAGAAAAGTGTGTTTGCAAACAGAATGTTAAAAAAAAATGTAACGATAGATTTTTGGGGATAATTTGATGGTGGCACATCTCCCTGTTTACTTGCTTCGCTAATAATAACTTAAAAATTAATTTTCCTTTTGCTGGCAAGTGGGTCACCTGATGACAAACACTGGCTTTCATCACATCTGCTGTTACCATACAGGGCTTTAATGTTGCCATGTCAGGTTAAACAATCAGGATCCTTCGGAGAACAAAGTAAGTACTTAATTAGTCAGATTAACCCGCAGCGCGGCTGCCAGACACATGGTTGTGTAGTACACCCAGCTCAAAACCAAACAAGCAATAATACATGTTATGTCTTTGTGGAGACTCAGTGTAGCGTAGGAGAAGGCCATATAAGGCAAAGGTTATGACATTTGTCAACAACCTGCCCTACCAGTGGGCAGAGGTCATCAGACGTCCAGCTGGTTTCATCTGCCTGGAATGCTGCGCTTCTTCATACCAAAACAGTCCCCTATAAGAATCTTATATTTGTCTCATAAATGATTTCTTTCACTCTACAGGTTGATTATATCACATTTAATTGTATTATTGATTTAATAATGCCTTGACTGCTTTACGGTAATGAATGAATCAACATGTTTATTCTTGAAATGCCTTATTTGAGATCTTAAAGGGACTTTACGGAGTTTTGAATTTTTATGCTCGCGATTGCCCCCTCAGGCCAAAAGCGTAACGGCAGCTTCAATAGTAGGCTCGTGCACGAGGCACGCATGCTGTACGTGCACACTCCTTAACGAAAATAACAGCTGAGACAGTCCCTTGTGTGTGTGTGTGGCCCGGAGGACAGAGGACAGGAGAACGCGCAGCTAATTAAATAATTTGGTTCTGTACCTTTCTCTTCAGCACAGCCGACAAAGTGAAAAGTTGAACCCACATCTTTTTTATCTGTGAATTCAATGCCGTTCGGCGAGTCTCAAATAAAAATTTGGGCATCTTACTGTAAAAAAGTATACCATTAATGCAAAAAAAACTCTAAATACACTATGTTAACATACAGAATCGTACCCAGTTCTCCTGCATGAGAGTCCGACGTCTTACTAGGTGAGCTGAAGCGCCAGTGACGTCTTTTGTATCTGTAACATTTATATAGTTGATGACAGCTGAAAAAACGTTCAAAGAACGGTTCGGAGCGAAAATGGCTATTTTGTTGCTAATTTGCAGGAAATATCTAGAAGAAAGTTCTACAGAAAGTAGCTAAGGGTCCTCAGAAATGTAGCTAGGTTTGTCACTAGGCGTTAGGAACAGCGACAAAGTGGCAATGCCTCTCTCTCTGCTGCTAAAGCTACGGGCTACGCCTGAGCGTGAACGCGCATGAAGCAGCCTGCTCGACCCGAGCAGCTCTCTTTTTCTGTGATTTTACAGAAAAACAGGCAATCACAGTAAAAATGCCAGGGCTCATTCTACAGGACCAGGGCATTGCAGGAGAATGTATGAAGAAGACATTTATTATTTCTATACATGTTTTGGCTGTCAAACTTCCATAATGACCCTTTAAAAGAGTAACACTTCCTATATTCACCAGTTCAGCAAAGCAGTGCCAGCCTTCATGCTAAATTACCATCCTTCGGGGGATTAAACTAAATCTTCCAGTGGGATACTTTTAGCTGCACGAACCATCCTTTTCCAAGACCAAACAACCATTGCTAACCTGCAAACGCCTGCCAGCGCCCGCAGACGTATCTCCCTGACCAGCCGTGTGGATTCAGAGGAAACTACAGCCTTTGGATCTCAGAAGTCCCACCACTCGCCTGGCTTTGCTTGCCGGACAGATCTACGAGAACGCCTATCGTGCGGGTACCGTAGCTCACACGCTGGTGCTGGATGGTTAGCCTGATTATTTCATAAACCCAGACATCACATTTTTCTAGGACACCTAATCAGACTCTCAGTAACATCTACGATCTATTTCATCGTTGTTTATTAATTGTCCTGCATCAGCATTAGTAGCAGTAATATAGTAATAAACAGATTTTATAACTAAATGTTTGTCTCTGTGTCAAAATATAATAAAGTGTTGTTTCCCTGGCAAACCCAAAGCACCTGATTACATTATCAATCGAATATTAAAGGTTCAATATTATTGATACTCCATATTAATATTATTACCACCAAAAAAATAGGTAAACATTCCCTTCATGCTGAGTTTTAGACTAAGACATGTTAGTTGATGCTCCACATGAACGATGAGTTTCTGCTTCTGCCTCCATTATGCAGCTCATCGTCTGTGAAAGTGGCCGAGTTCGACACACACACGTGCTCGATGACGTGTGTTACTCTGGAGAGCAGAAGGTCAGAGGGTGGACTGTGTGGAGATTTTAGAGCTTCAGTAGTTTCATGAGGGAGTTAACTCTGTGTGCTGCTGCAGGAGGAAGGTCAAACAGGAAGTTCACGAACCGGAGTTTCCATGCCACCTGGGCTGCTTACCTAGGTTGCTGTAGGTGGCACTGCGCTGGCTGGAGGTGGTAGAGTGATTCCCATCCTCTTCAGGCTCTCCCAGGCTGGCGCTGCCCTCGCTGGCCGAGGCCGTAGCGGTAACCAGGTTAGCACGGCTCCCCCCACTCTCCCCAAACACCAGGCCCAGATTGACTTTGGCAGGCAGAGAGATGATGCTGGGTAGCTCCTGGGTTCTGGCCCGGCTCACTGGAACCTGGCTGCACATGAGACAGAAAATGGCATAGTTATTTTGGTTTGGTTCATCCTCTATTCCAGAATTTCACTCTTGATCTGAACAATAAACATGATGACTTCTGGATTTTATTCCCACACAGAAATATTTTCATTTGATTAGTTTGGGTTTCACCAATTTAGCCTCTGTGTATGAGGGCTTGAGACAGCAAGCAGAAGGGACAGAAGAAGAGAAGATGTGTGATCATCTGGAGGAGCCACGTGATGATACCAGTAGGGCCACTCAACCAAGTTGGTGCCAGAGCAAACACCATCCTGCTGGGCCAGAAGTGGTGCTTGTTCAGAACAGCTTTATACCCCATGTGTACACACATGTGTATACACATATGTACACATGTGTTTGTTTGATGTTCATGAGACCAGAACATGTTTTCCTATTGAAAAAGTGTTTTTTGATCCAATCTTTTCCAGATTCCCATTTCAAATGACGCACATGTTAAACAACTTATATTCTACATGTGAACAAATGCCCACATGCATGCTAATGTCATATTTGCACACACACAAGTATACATGCATATATTATATATATATATATATATATATATATATACATACATACATACATACATATATATATACATACATACATATATATATGTATGTATATATATATATACATACATATATATACATACATACATACATATATATATACATATATATACATACATACATACATTTTTATATATATATATATATATATATATATATATATATATATATATATATATGTATATATATGCAGACTGCACTTCTTGAGGACGCTTAGGTCCTTCAATGTCTGTAGCAAGATGCTGCAGATCTTCTACAAGTCTGTTGTTGAGAGTGTAATCTCCAGCCATCGTCTGTTGGGGTAGTAGCATCAGAAGCAGGGACCTGAAAAGGCTCAACAGCCTAATAAAAAAGGCTGGTTCTCTTCTGGGGACGACTGTGGAACCACTGGAGGAGATCATGCAAAGAAGGATTCTCCAGAGAATCAAGAAAATGATGGACAGCCCTGAGCATTCTCTTCACAAGACTGTCCGACAACGGAAGAGTGTCTTCAGTCAGAGGCTTCTTCAGTTTCGCTGCAACACTGACCGCTACTGGAGATCCTTCCTGCCAACAGTCATTGTAATATACAATAACTCTTTGATGACTTGATTATTATTATTATTCTGAGCTACTACAGCAATCAATTTCCCTCTGGGATTAATAAAGTATTTTTGAATTGAATTGAATTGAATATACCAGACGTTGTGGTGGCGGACAAACGGCAGAAGACAGCTGTTATGGTTGATGTGGCATTACCGAGTGATGCAACATCAGGAAAAAGGAACAGGAGAAACTAGGCAAGGACCACGGCCTCAAAGAAGAACTCGAGAAAGCCTCAGCATCAAACCTCCTCAGGCCCTACTACTGTCCAGAAAGAGATGACTGGAGGAGAAGAGGTATCCTTAACCAAACCTGTCATACCCTTCACAAACAGGAGCTGGAAAATGAACCGAGTAGGGTTGTCACGGTAACCGGTATAGCGGTAAACCCCGGTAAAAAAGTTGACAATAAAAATAACCGTCCAGTTTTTAAAAAACTAAATTATCTCGGTGGGTTTACCGTGGCCGCGGTTTCGGCGCGGTGACCCTTACCAGCCACCGTCGCTTCAGCTGAAGTTCCCGCGGCGCGCACACGCACTTTTTAGTTTGCAACGGCACCAAAACTTTGAAGCTGAAATAATGGCCGAAGGAGGAGACGGCAGCGCCCAGGACATCCATCCGCCCTCAAAGAAGACTAAATCGGAAGTATGGGCATATTTGGGATTTCTGAAAAATGCTGAGGGACAGTTAATAGAAGACTGCTATCCCGTTTGCAGAACGTGCAGGAAACAAGTATCTGCAAAAGGTAACACTTCGAATCTAATGGCACATCTGTGTGACCATCACCCACGTCTCTACAGCCAGTGCAAGGTAAGTTAACATTAGCATTTTAGCTTAAATGCATGACGCGAGGACTTTTGGTTGAGGGAGAATGCAACGAGTCACTATATACTGCAGCCGCAGCGTCCTCTGCCAGCATTTAAACCGTGTCACGGACACCCTGTTGCTGGATGAAGCATCTTATTTGTTGATGATGAAGAGAAATATACAATTAGTTCCTTGTCATTGATTTGTTTACTTATTCAATGCCATTTATACTTGAACATTTGGATTTGATTACATAGTGTAGTAGTTATTTTAGTAATTTGTTTAAAGTGGCTATTTGTTTTAAATACATATTTTTTTAAGGTTGACTTGTACAGCGCTCAAGTCAAGTGTGGACTGGAGTTTTAGATTTTCATTTTGATAATGAAGAAAACAAGTAAATGAGAAAACAAGTGGTGTTTCTTTGATTTGTTTACATATTGTTTATGTTTCGAATGTTTGGATTTGTATAATTTAAACCTGCACTGACTACTGTAACATGTTCCAGAAAAATAAGCTATTTGTTCCTTTACTTGTGAAAAGTTGCACTTTTGCTAAGGCTTTGTGTTATTTTAGGTTTAATAAACACTGTTAAACCTTTTCAGAACTATTTCAGTTTGTGTAGAACAGGACTATCAATGCTTTCTGAACATATGCAACACCGTTTAAAAAATACCGCGATAATACCGAAAACCGTGATAATTTTGGTCACAATAACCGTGAGGTTAAATTTTCATACCGTGACAACCCTAGAACCGAGCTGCTCGAGAAGTGAGTCATGTCCTGTTGTCCCTGAGAGCTACATAAGTCCAGTCCCACAGAGACGCTCAGTAGAGGAACAGAACACCTACGTCACTAACTAGCACCTACGTCACTAACTAGCACCTACGTCACTAACTAGCACCTATGTCACTAACTAGCACCCACGTCACTAACTAGCACCTACGTCACTAACTAGCACCTACGTCACTAACTAGCACCTACATCACTAACTACCACCCACGTCACTAACCACTACCCACGTCACTAACTAGAACCTACATCACTAACTAGCACCTACATCACCAACTACCACCTACGTCACTACCACCTACATCACTAACTAGCACCTACGTCACCAACTACCACCTACATCACTAACTACCACCTACGTCACTAACTACCACCTACGTCACTAACTAGCCACAGCCACAAAACAACCATCTTCACTTTTACTTAAATAGTTTTGTTACATGTAACTTGTTGTCCAGACACGCTTGACATGTCAGTCCATCACAGACACACACACACACACACACACACACACACACACACACACACACACACACACACACACACACACACACACACACACACACACACACACACACATACACACACACACACACACGCACGCACGCACACGCGCGCGCGCGCACACACACACACACACACACACACACACCGTTAGGATGGCTAATGAGGCTGTGGGAGAAAAACCACCCACATGCCGATGAGATTCAAACCTGCAACCTTCTCTCTGTGATACAATGGTGCTATCAACTGCTGTGATTATTATTATTATTATTATTATTATTATTATTATTTTAAATAATAATAATAATAAACAGTAATGACTTAATAACCAACTGAGCTCTTCAACCATCGTAGCTTCCTTTTGCTCTGGGGCATCTGGACTCTAGTTTCTATCGGTGAAGGTTTAATATTATGGGATGTGATGGGTATCTATCAACGGCAGCACAGCTCTACACATCCCAACATCCGTTAGACTGACCCGGTCTGAATAAACACCAGCCCAGGGTGTGTCTGTGCAGAGGCTGACTCAGGAACCATGAAGACTGAGCTGACCTCCACAGCGTGACGAGGACTACAGCGCCGTACGCACCAGTCACCATGTCTGCGTCATCCTGCTTCCTGGGATAAGCTCAACCTTCTACCTCACACATTCACTCCTGTTCTTCATGTCAGGAAACAAGCAAGAAAACTAAATTAGACCAAACGATTAATCATTTACAGTCAGCCATAAAAGTGCCTGAACAAGCTCCAGAGGAGGGCCCTCACCAGACAAATACCTTCATAGCTACTTCATGCTTCAGTTTCAGGACCCGACTTGTTCAGAAGCTCAACGCTGCCGCAGCGTCTCCCACTCTGTGTCCAAATCACAGGAATGGAACGTGTCCTCACTAAGTCAACCTCACCGCTCGTGGCTAGGGACGGTGACAGGTTACAGAGATGTCTGTGTGTGTGTGTGTGTGTGTGTGTGTGTGTGTGTGTGTGTGTGTGTGTGTGTGTGTGTGTGTGTGTGTGTTCTTACCCACTGTACTGACTCACACAGCTCCCCATCTGATCAGCCTGAACACAAGGCAGCAGAAATCACATTCTAGACCTAGAAACCTCCAGCTGGAACGGCTGTAAGGAGCTAAACCTGCCTGTGTTCTGGCCTCTTGGTTGTCTGGTCCTCCTTAAAAGGTCTTACCTGTCTGAGGTGAAGAGTGTGAGTAGAACACGCCCACTGCTCACCAATAAAGCTGCATGGTTAACCCCTCATATCCCAACAGAGCAACCTTCATGTAGCAAGACTTACATGTACATACACTCATTCAGGGTTAGGTCACTGACCTTTTGTGCTTTTCTTTCATTTCAACTTATAAATAAATACATTATTTAACAATGTTAATGTTTTTATTGCAATTAAGCTGGAAATCAATGTTATAGGTGTTTTTAGAACAGCTAAAATGATTCTAACTAAATATACTGAATCAGAAAATGGACACTTAAACAGTCAGGAAGCTTCAAAAACATCTGATAGGAAGCAATGCCAAACACAGCCAATCAGCTGCTTGGCTTTTCTACGATGTTTTAAACATTTTCACGTTGTCCATTCGACTGAAGTGTTCTTTCATTGTGAATTTGCTCGTGAAAATCAGAACAATGAATAACTAGTACTAAAGAAATGATGTAATAATATAATAAAACGTCCTTCAGTCTCTGATGAATTCATGTTTTCTGTTGCCTAAAGTGTTTGACTGAAGACCATCTCATGCTGAAAAGTAATGAGTTAACTAGTGTTTCTATAGTCGTGTTTGTGTGTTTGTGTGTGTGTGTGTGTTCAGTACTTGTACGACTGAGTTAGAGGTGTTTTCGTGTTAGCTGAGGTTATCAGACATTCAGCTCACCAACTATCATTACTGAAAGACTGGGTAGGCCTCTGGAGTGGTTCTCCTCTTATCTGTCCAAGTGTTCCTTCACTGTGGCCGTCTCCAAGTTTAGGTCCTCCACCACCTCCCTTACCCATGGTGTCCCACAAGGATCTGTGCTGGGGCCTCTGACCTTCCTCCTCTATCTGCTCCCTCTTCAGCACATCCTGAGCTCCTTCAAAGGAATCTCCGACCATCTTATGCAGATGACATCCAACTGTACATCTCCTTCAAGCCCCATGAGATGTCTAAGCTGCAGCTGTTACACACCTGCTTAGACTCTATCAAAACCTGGATGGCTGGGAGCTTTCTACAGCTGAATGAAGATAAGACTGAGATCCTCATCTGTACCCCAGACAAGCTGGTTCCCAAAGTCAGAGACTCTCTTGGTCAGCTTGCTTCTCACACCAAACCCTCTGTCAGGAGTCTTGGTGTGACCTCTGACCCAGCTCTCACCCTGGATTCTCATGTCAGTTCTCTTGTTCGCTCTTCCTTCTTCCATCTCAGGAACATTGCTAAGCTGAGTTCCATTCTGTCCCGCTCTGAACTTGAGACTGTTCTCCACACCTTCATCTCCTCACGCTTAGACTACTGTAACTCTCTTTTCACGTGTCTGAGCAGAACCTCCCTGAACCGTCTACAGGTGGTTCAGAATGCCTGTGCTCGGCTTCTGACCAACTCCTTCAAACACACCCACATCACCCCGCTTCTCCTCCAGCTTCACTGGCTGCCAGTCAACTTCAGGGTTCATTTCAAGATCCTGGTTCTGGTCTATAGGGCCTTACATGGACAAGCACCATCTTACATTGGTGATCTTCTTAGTCCCTACACCGCCAGCAGGTCCCTGAGGTCCAGTGACCAAAGGCTAAAGACCAAAGGTGACAGATCATCTGCTGCTGTGGCCTCCAGACTCCCGTTGAGCCTGAGATCAGTGGACTCAGTGGTCTCCTTTAAACTCACCTGTTCAGTCTTTGGTGGGACCTTCATCACCTCCCTCTCCTTGTTCTGCTCTGTCTAACAATTCCACCTGCCCCTATCCACTGATTTTATCTTTCCTGACATTTTTTAAACACATTTGTTTCTAATTTTTATAACTTTTTTTAAATAAAAAAAATGTTTAAATGAAACATATTTAAATTTTGAATTTTTGTTCTTGTGACGTCTCGTGATTTTTATCTTGAGAGGCGCTATACACACACACACACACACACACACACATATATATATATATATATATATTGTTTTCTTTCTTTTATCTTTCTTTCACATACCAAAGATTCTCAGTGGGTGAAGGTCTGGACTCTGGTGGCCAATCCATGTGTGAAAATGATGTCTCATGTTCCCCGAACCTCCTCTGGAACAAGGTCCATCTGGACTCATCAGACCAGTTTTAATAAGCCAGTTGGACGGTTCTTAACCCAGTTTTAGTCGTTTCTGCATCTCCTTAGATTTTTTTCTTTGCTTGATACACGCCAATGATCTGACCCTTCTCACACAGACAAACATCCTTTACACAACCACCAGATGTTTCGTTGCACATCGTAATAATAATAATAATAATAATAATAATAATAATAATAATAATAACAATAATAATAATAATTCATTTTATTTATTGGCACCTTTCATGGCACATGGTAAGTTATTCCACCTTACAGTAAGACAAGAAAGAACACAGCATGGTAACAAAGTAAGATCAGCTAAAATAAATCAATAAAACTATTAAAATCAATAAAAGCAAAACACAGACAACAAATGACACAAACAAAAAGCAGTTTAAGTCCCATGAGATGACTAAGCTGCAGCTGCTACATTCCTGCTTAGACTCTATGTCTAAGCATATGTCTCTATGTCAATGTTGCGAATCTCATTGGGAAGAGAATTCCAGAGGTGAGGGGCGGAGCTAACTCAGGTCCCTGTGTGCAGCCCCGCCCCCTGTCGAGTCTACACGTTTCCATCTGGAATCTCTGCAGCAGAAACCGTCTGAAAGTGGGAAGGCCATCTGGTAGAATATTTTGAGCTGATTGGAGGATGCACAAGGTAGTGCCCAGCTGGCACTGGCTACCATATTTTGTCTTCAGCCAATCACAGTAACTTAAATGATGTTTACCATGTGCACCTGGAAAACAGCAACTCGCTCAAGCTTCATTCACTCACTCACGCAACAATTACCATGTCTTCGGGTGATTTCTGCCGGTTTTGCAAGAAGAATATGAGCATAAAGGGCAGGGTTTCCCCTGCGCTCTAAAAGCCAGGCCACCGCCAGTGTAGTACAGGCTAAGCGTATTTGCCCACCCCCTCTCCCCGGCCCTACCTTCTCCGCTGATACTGACGAGAAACGGCAGCGGAGCAACCGCAACAAACAACAGTGTACATAGACCAAACAGAAGCCTGCCTCCTAAATGAAGGAAGCAGCCCAGAAACACTGAATGTAACAAAGGAGAAACCCACAGGAACAATGGTCAAATCATGCACATCCAGTCTAAATGACAAAACTAGGTCCAGGGTATGAGAACCAGCATGAGTATGACCCTGCACCAGCTGATGTAGACCAAACGAGTCCAGAATGGCTAAAATGTCACTCTCCAATTGCTTTTATGGGCAGCAGACATCACCCAAAATCACAGCCTGATCTTATTTGGGGAGATAGTCAGAAAAAAGGTCTGCAGACTCATAAAAACAGTGCTGTGCTTTGGTGGCTGGTAACAGAGAACAAGCAAAAGAGAAGGGTTAAAACTCAGTTCAAACAGAGAACCCTCAAAGCTAGTAGGAGCTAGCAAGTCAGGACGGCGTTTCAGTGGAAGAATGGAGTGATGTATAGTCAATAGCCCTCCCCCTCTGCCTGATAGCCTCGGTTTATTCACAGCCAGGCAGCCTGGCGGACATAATTCAACGATGGAAGCAGACCCACCCGGCAAAACCTAAGACAGTCAATAAGAGCAGGCTGGCTGGTCCGTCCAGAAATAGATCCTTAAAAAGAGCCGATTTATTTCCAATCGATCCAGCATTTAAGACGCCAATCCGAGGGCTGACGAGGACCTCTGCATTGGCGAGTGAACAAGTTGCGTCTCGCCAGACCTCATTGGGTAGCTAAGATTCCGCCAGTCAACTCCTCCCTCCCGATACTCCCGATAGGAACCCCCCGCTGACAGGAACAACTCTTTGCCGGTGCAAAACATGGATGGGTTGTAGCCGCTGATGTCAAGAAACGAGTCTTCAAACCAACAGTGGGAAAAACCTTCCATGGGGCCCACCCAAGAGCTGTGGTGATTTTTTAAACGGGGCTTGGTGAGTTAAGTGGTGCTGCTGGTTCTGAAGCCAGACTGTTCAGTTGTATTTTGTGACAATCTCATCAAATCTTACAGATAATATTTCTGAAAATATTTTGAGAGTCATGAAAACAGAGAAACAGATGCATCGTTTAAAACATGTGTCTAGCTCCCGATTAAAACGTGGGAATCGTACCCGTTTTCTTTTATTTGTAAAACGTGTGAGTTACATGGATTAGTTGAATGAGGGTGCAGTGGCTTTCACCACATGGGCAACAATGCTTTGGACCGAGGATCATTTTGGTCCTATTAGCTGATATTTTGTTCTTGAATGTTTTGACCATTTGAATAATTTCTTCATCTTTAAAAATATTGACTGGTGATCGTCTATGTTGCTGATGACTTGTTTGTTTCTGTTTTCAGTGCTTGTGATCTCTTATGATGGGAAAACACCAATAAAAACGTCATTAAAACACAACTAATGAAGTTTGTGTAAAACACGTGTAAAACAAACTTTACTTTGCGTCAGAAGCAGAAATATGTAATAATCCTAAGTCTAATTTACACAAACATCCATTTGTGTAGACATACCTCCAGACATACTAGGGAAAACTAATCGATCAAAAATAAAACAAAAGATCTTAGGAGAAAATTACGCAAGACAGTTCATTGGGAAGATGAACCCAGTGACGCTGGGATTTGAATGAATTTGAGTAACACTGAAGTAAAGTTACAGAGATTGCACCAAGGCATTTCATTGGTTGGGAACAGATCCAAGTAAACAAATATTTTAAGATCCAACACCTCAGATTTTTTATGTTGATGACAGACAAAGATAGATTCCCTCATTTAAGAACAGCAGCTGTCAAAGAACCAACACTTGAATTCTAACCTGTAATTCTCCCAATCATGGAAACTAAATTAGGAATTCATCCATGTTCCTGTGGTACTGGATAATAAAAGCCAGACTTACCTGAGGTCTGTGCAAACGTCGTCTTCTCTGGTGGTTTCTGAGGACTGGGTTTGCTCTCCACCCAAACTTCTACAATCTTTGATTTCACCATCTGCTGGTAAATCAGTTTCTCTTCTCTCCACTCGCAGCTCTCCTTGTCCATCACCAGGGCGTGCCTCGGGTTTGTAGGTGAAAATAATGGTTGGTTTCTGAGAGGGATCGTCTTGTTTGGCCTCTGTGAACCAGTGCTGACGCTGAGCAGGTGGAGGTGGAAGTACATGAATGACTGTTCCATCTAGCCCAACAAGCTTACCCTTCTCCTTGTCTTTTTCTGCCTTCTCTCGCTGCTCATCGGAGTCTTTCCGTCTGCGAAAAAAGCTTTTGAAGGAAATCCACCTTTTAGGTTTGGAGCTGTCAGTTGGAACACGTCTTCCTTCCCCACTAGGGCTTGTTTCTCCGTCACCGGGCCGCACAGGCGAACTGGAGGCAGGGCCCTTGGTCCAGTTGCAAAAATGCCTCTGAAATATGTTGGAAGCGTGATAAGGGGAAGATGTGGATCTTGGAGGGGGGTAGGGGGCATTGGGCTCTGAGCAGGGACTGGACAGTGGGACAGCAGCAGAGGCACTCTGGGATTTAGACAAGATTTTTGACGGGGTTTCCTTTTTCTGCTTGGAAAGACAACCATCTGTGGTGGAAAAGAGAGACTTAGGGCGAGTAAGGATCTCCTTGCTGGCATCAGGTGGGAGAGCATACAGCTCCTCAGAACCAAAGGTGTCGGTTTGTGCAGAGGGGGATGCTGGAGGAGATTGGGGAGGTTGAATAGAGGCTACTATCTGTGACAATACAGTACTAGCCTCCTCCCTGTGGCTTGTAACAGTTCCAGAAGATAGAGATATGTCTCCATCATCGTCTTTACTAGATGTATCCTCACCATCTGCATAACTCTGTTTAACAGTATTACCAGAAAGACTAACTTTAGTCAGGTTTGCAGTAAGGGGAATATTGGCAGATGTAGATGGAGAGAAGCCCCCCGTGCTTTGTGCAGTGCAAGCATTTGTAGTGGTTTTAAGTTCAAGTGGACACTTTATCTCCTCAAATGAAGCCGGCTCGGATGTGCCTCTCCCAGAGAGAGTTTTATCTGTTGAGAACGAATGAACACTCTCAGAGGATCCGATTTCTTCATAAGTATGGCTGGTAACCCTACTACTGGCCCTGTTTGTTTGAGACTGCTCCCCATGGAGTCCCAGGAAGCTCTTGTACACAGCGAGATTGTCGTACGCACTTGGATTGATAACAATAGGTACCTTGACAGCATTCTTGGAGCTGCGAGCATAGGCTGGTTCATCTCTAATAATAATAGGAAAAGGAGGCATGCCTGCATTGTTAAAACTGTTAAACTTGATCTCTGATAGGTTGGGGGATTTTATAGGTACAGTCCGGGAGGAAGACAACCCTGCCACAGGGGATGTGGGAGCTGATTTATGACTGCAGAACTGAGATGTGATGGAGGTACCAGGGGCACTTCCAACCCCTAGATCCACTTTAGGGATCTTTTGGCGAGGACTTGTACTTGATGTCCACACTTCTTGGTAGCGGACAAAGCCTTTGGTCTTTCGTGGGAGTCCTGACTGAGCAGCAGCTGTGGGTGATGTTGGCCTTAAAGGAAAAGATGGTGAAATAGGAGGCACTGGGGAGAGTGGCTGAACTAAAGGAGCGCTAGAAAACAATGTAGGGCTGGAGGGTTTTAACGGGTTTTTGGATTGTTGTGAATTTGGAATTTGGTCCTCTTTATTTGCCATAGAAGCTGAAACGTCCACCACAGTGTACGGCTTGCATACGACAGATTTTTCCAGATTTACCACGCGGTATGGTTTTGCTTGCTCCTCTGTGGGACTAAAACAGATGGTGACTGGTTGACCAGGAAGGGCCTGAGGCATGCTTTCCCTACCATCTTGTTCTTCTAATCTAATGGCGAGAACAGCTTTGTGTGTTTCAGCCACTCTGACTGGACTCAATGGTGTTTTCACAGGCTCTTTTGTTGGGGGAGATGTGCATTGAACAGGTGCTTTACAAGAAGTGGGTGAATGCAAGACATTTTTACAGACATAGAGGGCACTGCTCCCACTGCTGGAAGTAGTTTGAGAATCCTCTTGTAGTGACGACGATGACTCTGGAGAAGTAGTCGATTCTGAATTTGACAGGAAAGCACTGCCCTGCTTGTGCTGAAGACCATAGGGAAGAAGACTTTCATCAGACCCTACTGAGGGGTATCCATTCAGGATTTCATCAAAGCTGTCATCATAGTCCACCGCACAAATTCTCTGCAGTGAGCGATTGCGAAGTGGCACAGTGTTCCATTTTTTTCCAGCAGCAAAGGGTACAGGAGACAAGGTGGCAGCACGAAAATGTGCAAATCGTGGTTGGCCACGCATACGGATCTCCATTGCAAGTAACTCTTCATCACTTTCATCCCAGCTCTCGTGATCTTCATCATCCTTCTCAGTGTCTCCATCCTCATCCTCATCATCTTCACCCTCACTGGAAAACTCTGGGTAGCAGAAGCGCCCTCCTTCAGTACTAATTACCTTAGGACTCTCACTGAGGCATACGCGCTTTTGATTAGCACCGCCACCACTTCTGCTGCTGCTGCTTCCTATGGACAGACAGCTAGACATTTGTTGGCCTCTTTCCAAGGACTTTCGATACGAACGACTGATTCGCCCCCAGAATATATCCTTGGACCCACATAAGGGTGTGGAGTTAGAGTCAGGGCCCAAACCAGCAATCTCTTTGAGGACGTCTGTGAGTCCACTGCAGTTATTATTTCCACTGGGTGTCCTGGGGCTAAGCTGTCCATAGCCTTCAATTTCCTCACTGCCTTCTTCTCCATCATTGTTGTTACTGGGTCCACCAGGACTCTTACGATTGAGTCCATTACGATTCCAGACAGAGAAGGCAGAATTTGTACCTGCTTCTATTGCATTAGTAGGTTGCTGCAAGTTGCCATCTGAATCCAGTTCAGCAGAAGAGCAGGGCAGCATCATAGTGGGCTTAACAGCAATGGTTGGCTTCTTGGCTACTGGGGGACGGACGTGTCCTGAGCGTGCAGGTCCACTCCCAGCCCTCTGGGAGTTAGTAATAGGGTTGGGGTTGGCTTGGATCCCAGCTGGAGGTGAATTTTGTTGCTGATTGGATAAAAGCCTCTGTTCTGAGGGAGGTCTCCCACCAACATCCTGACCGAGAAAGTGCAGACTTTTAGGTTTAAAGCAGTTCTTGCACTCGCCGGGTTTCCACACATGCTCAGTGAAAGTGCTGCAGGCCGACATCGCTGTTGCTTCCAAAGGCGGCCAGTCAGGTCAGTGCACAGGAAAGCTCTCCATGAAGAAATAATGAACAGCAAAGGGTGGCAGACCAGGGATGACCACAATCCAGTCTTCACATGAGTGGACCTGAAAGTTAGGACAGGAAAAAACATCAATCAGAATTAAATTGCTCAGAGGCATATGTCTCAGTACTTATAACAAAGTTCAATCTTATTAACATATAGGCATGACAATAAATAGATCACATGTTAAAATGACACTAGAAACATGAAACAAAGATTTTAGAGTGGGAGAGGAAGAGAAAATGACCACATTATCTGAGGGTGAAAAGGGATGAATAAGAAAGGCAGTGTTCCAATATCTCCATTAGGTGGCAGACTGTTCCTTCTCAAAGATGATCCATGATGGCCGCAAACCCCAACTGGGCTGAAGTTTGAAAAAGGACAGCAGCAGAAGGATCCTTGTTTTCATGTAGCTGTTGGGTTTATGTGTAGGCTGCTTGAGCCAAGAAACACATGACCTGAAAGACTCTAAAAGCGTCACCGAGGGAAAACCTCAAACACAAAAAAAATCTGAAATATTAAAACTTAAATGGGCTTCAGATGAGGCAACTAATTCTTTTTAAGCAATGCTGTATAAATTACAAAGTGGTGAAAGTAAACGAGGCCACAACCATGGCTGACACCAGCTCGCTCTGATTTAATGTGCTGAATTAGTTTCAGCTCCACTCAAGAGCAAATGATGAAGGAAAAGTTATTATCATCTAAACTACTGCGTGTCCAGCCCACATTCACTAACCTCATTACAAGTAGTGCTCAGATACCAGATTCATGACAAATCCTTGATGCTCAACCAATTAAAACCCTCAGATGTTGCATAACTAGCTTTGCACAATTTTATCAACCAGCCTGAGGGAAACTGCTTCTTCAAGGACCAAAAATAGAACCTTGAGTACAAAGCAAACTAAGATATAGATAAAAAAAAAGATTAGGTGGTAAAAAGAGCAGCAAAACAGATGAGGTAGTTGTCTATTGTCTCTGCGCTTAAGTTTCACTTCTTTATCTGTATCTGTTTCTAAGGGCAACATGCTGGGATGATCTGACCTCAAGTATCGGACCGAGGTCCCAATGAAGGCATTGTTGATATTAGATCAATGTGATATTAGCTCCTAATCTCTACTGTTCCCTCTTACGTCCGTGCTGAAAGAACATTTTCATGGTTCTGTAATTGATCCATTGCAATGCCGTGGTTTTAGTGAGGTTAGTACACATCTTAGCCATAATTGCTCAGGCTTGAATTATTGACACGATCATTTGTTTCAGCGTTTCGGTTTTTGGTTTCCTCTTTTTCGGTTTTGTGAAGTCAACTCTCCTAGCTCCAGGATGCTGGTTTAATACCAGTAAAGCTGATTCTGATGCCATGATGCACGCTGTGCCTGATATAAGCATGAGAATCATTCTCAGACTAATGTGTGTCAGATCCTGTGCAGACAGACGCTGTCGTGCAAAAGCCACCCCTTCCAGCCAACAGACATAATGAAGCAGGAACTCCTGACCCAAAACGTGCTGACCAAACGGTGAAATGATGAGAAGCTGGAATCTGCTGCAGCACACTCGCTGTATCCCCACAGGAAGCTTCCACCATCAACCAGACTGTTGCCTCGTGCTGCTCCACACACAGGACAGCCAGGTGCAAAAACAACCCTCTAATAAAATAATAACAATAACATAAAAGTCGACAAACTGAGAAGGAGCATTTTCTAAGCAACTAATTGTTCTTGATGGAACAGAAAGTTGTAGCAGGAACAGGTTAAATAATGAAAATGTGTTTACTGATATTCTCTCTGATGGTACTTCCCAGAATTTGACGCTGCATCCACGAGGAAGCCAAATCTGGTTGTTTTTTTGTTTCTCCCTGAGCTAAAAATAAAAATCGGTGCCACATGGCAGCTGACAAGTCCCTGGCTGATCTCATCCTTGGTGCCAACTCGGAGCGTGTTGCTTATGACAACTCCTCTAGCGTCACGCTGCAGCCGATAGAGGTGCAGCTGACAGCGGAGGTCACGCTTCTAAAACAGAAGTCCTGACAGAGGAAACCGCTGTTGAACAAGCAGCTCTGGTTGTGCGAGTGTCTTTGTCTTGGGTTGAAAACACTTTGTCTCTGAGTTCCTGCTTTTGCAGGACATGTGCTCCAAACAACCAGCTGTTTATTATGCAACTCTAAAAATGTAACAAATTAGGAAAATAAAAGCTTCTAAAAATGTGCCTTTTTACATTTGCCTTCCAGGCTGTGCAAAAGAATACATAAATAAATAAATAACTCATAACTCAGAAAAATGAGTTTTCCATTGGCTTTCGGGGCTTCGGTGAAGCCCTAAGACCTTCCCTGGTGCGGTGGGTCCTGGGTCCTCCAGGTACAGGACAGAACATGCAGGCGGTTCCTGGACACCACTCGCTGTCCTCCATGCCTTCCCGACCTAAATCCAATAACACACTAATTGATCATCTTAGGTGTGTTCTTGCTGTGTCTTTCTAAGTCCATGCTTTCGTTCTTTTTTAAACACAGAAACAGTTTTGTTTACCTGTTTGTAGCTACAGTTTCGCCGACGGCTGCCGGCTTCTTCAGGCTGACGCTGATGGTGGCGCGTCACTTCCTTCTCCGTTTATCTGCGGGCAGTAGAGGACGTTGTCGCCCTCTACTGCCCGCTCTCCCCTCTCCGACGATGCAGTCCCATGCGTGGTCCAGCGTGTAAACTCCGTCGTCCCTGTTCATGGTCCCACATCCACGTCTCCTTATCTCGATTGCTTCCTTGATCCATCTTTTGTATTTTTGTTGTTCGGTGGTTATGATCCGTGTGTTGTCCCAGTCCATTATATGGTTTTCTCTTAAGCAATGATCTGTTACGGCTGACTTTTTTATTGTACTTTCTGCTTCTTCTTTTGCTGCTCTTGTGTGTTTACGATTTGCCTCTTTCTTGCACTCCTTTCTGTGTTCTATTAATGTATTGAGTTGGCGTCCGGTTTCTCCTATGTATGTTTTATTGCATATTTTGCATGGGATTTCGTGGATGACTCAACATTTTTGTCCAGCTGATATTTTGTCTTTTGGGTGTACTAATCTGTTTCTAACTGTTGTGTATGGCTTTGTTGGTGTGTTTATGTTGTGTTTTTTCATTGTTGCTCTTATTTTTTCCGTTATGCCTCTGATGTATGGTAGGGTTATCACTGGTTTTGGTTCTTGTCTTTCTGGGTTTCTGGTTCTTTTTTTGGGTTGTTCTTTGCTTTCTGTTTTTGTTTGTTGTTTTCCTTTGTTTATTGCCCATGTTGGGTATCTGCAGGTCTTTAAAGCGTGTTGTATGTGTTTGTCCTCTTGTTTATGGTCTCTCTCTTCTGTTATCATGTTTGTTTGGTGATATAATGTTCTGATTACTGACATTTTGTGTATGGTGGGGTGTTCTGATGTCCATAATAAATATTGGTCTGTGTGTGTTGGTTTCCTGTATGTGTTTATGTTTAGAGTCCCGTCGGTCTGTCTGGTGATTTTCATATCCATAAATGCTATGCTGCCTTCTGTTTCTAACTCATAAGTGAATTTTATGTTGCCCGTGTCGTCAACATTGTTTAAGTGTTGTGTTAGTGTTTCTGTTTGACCTTTTGGTATGATTTCTAGTATGTCGTCTACGTAGCGTTTCCATAGTTTTATTTTGCAGTTTGGGGGGGCGGTGGCTATGGCTTTTTGTTCTAGGTCTTCCATGAAAAACTCGCACAGGGTGGCTGATAACGGGTTACCCATGGCGAAGCCTTCCAGTTGTTTGTATATTGTGTTATCGTATGTGAAGTAAGTGGAGTTAGCTACCATAGAGAAAACCATATAATGGACTGGGACAGCACACGGATCATAACCACCGAACAACAAAAATACAAAAGATGGATCAAGGAAGCAATCGAGATAAGGAGACGTGGATGTGGGACCATGAACAGGGACGACGGAGTTTACACGCTGGACCACGCATGGGACTGCATCGTCGGAGAGGGGAGAGCGGGCAGTAGAGGGCGACAACGTCCTCTGCTGCCCGCAGATAAACGGAGAAGGAAGTGACGCGCCACCATCAGCGTCAGCCTGAAGAAGCCGGCAGCCGTCGGCGAAACTGTAGCTACAAACAGGTAAACAAAACTGTTTCTGTGTTTAAAAAAGAACGAAAGCATACACTAATTGATGTTTTTGATTCGGCTGAATTTTGAAGGACCAGAAACCAACTTAAATAGAAGAAGAAAATATCATTTCTATAGCGCCTCTCAAGATAAAAATCACGAGGCGCTTCACAAAAACAAACAAAAAAAAATGTTAAAATATAAAAAAGCATTTAGAAAATGTTTACAAATATATTTAAAATGAGCAAAAATAGGCAACTGGGTTTAAAAGAAAAAATGTTAAGAAAGGGAGAGAGCGAATAGGGAAGAGGGAAATCAGTGGATCCTGAGGAAGGTGGAATAGGTGGGGAGAGCAGAATAAAGAGAGAGTGGTGAAGAAGGTCATACAAAAGCCAGCTTGAACAAGTGAGTCTTCAGCTGCTTTTTAAAGGAGACCACTGAGTCCACTGATCTCAGGCTCAGGGGGAGAGAGTTCCAGAGTCTGGGGGCCACAGCAGCAAATGATCTGTCACCTTTGGTCTTTAGTCTGGTGCTGCACAACCAGTAGGCTTTGATCACTGGACCTCAGGGACCTGCTGGGGGTGTAGGGACTAAGAAGATCACTAATGTAAGATGGTGCTTGTCCATGTAAGGCCCTATAGACCAGAACCAGGATCTTGAAATGAACCCTGAAGTTGACTGGCAGCCAGTGAAGCTGGAGGAGAAGCGGGGTGATGTGGGTGTGTTTGGAGGACTTGGTCAGAAGCCGAGCACAGGCGTTCTGAACCACCTGTAGACGGTTCAGGGAGGTTCTGCTCAGACACGTGAAAAGAGAGTTACAGTAGTCTAAGCGTAAGGAGATGAAGGTGTGCACAACAAGCTCACACCTTAAGCACCATTTATAAACTCACACAAGTAGAAGCAAACTCAGCACTAAACCATGAAAGAGACATACAGACTGTTGAGCCAACAAAACGACGCAAGATACTGAAGGAT